TCCACTATCCCTATATAACCCCATTTTGCTAAATTGTATCTGAAGGACAGGCTCTTCCCCTTTGCCGCCGCGACAATTGAGCGGTGGGCGCCAGCTGGAGCTGAGCTGTCAGAGGTGGGCCATCTTTGCCAATTTCCCTAAATTAGGGGACCCCAATATAGACCCCAACATACTATAATCCTTATTATGGGGACCCCCCAAAAAGGTACACCTAATTTTGGGAAACCCCCCTTTGATGAAGGAAGGTAGTGGTTGAAAAGTAGGGCGCGTGCTTCTGCAAAGGTGGTTGTGTCAATGGTGGTATGTACCGGGGGTGGTAGCGGTAATCATGGTGGTAGTGTGCAATGCTAACGGCTGAAGTATTCTTATTCCATCCAAGTGTCGTTGTTGCAGCTGGCAGTCCTGCCTTGCAGCGCAATGTCACCAAACCTATAGTCCCCCTTAAGTAGATAGAATATGGCTCTGGGTATATTGAAAAAAGATCCCTCATATGTACTATAGTCTAAACTCCTTAAAGGGGGTTATATAGGGATAATATAGGGGTTATTAAGGGGGATACTAGGAGTTTAGTGCCCAAATGGAATTTAACTGACACGATTGCCAGACTTTCGCGACTGCAGGCTGCTGTCTCCATCCAGTTTGAAGTTAATCAGCACTGTGCCTGCATCCCTTCTACTGAATAGGTTGAAGCTGTCGCCAAAGCAAATTTCATGCTTCAAAGCGATGATTTATCTTTAAGATGGCACATTCCTACCTTCAGACGTAAGTCGGTCCCCCCCACCTGGGTGAGACAAATCCTTGAGTTGCGCAGATGCCCGCAAGTACCTCCGACTGAAGTTACATGCATCACCCAAATTCCTTTGGAATCCTGGGCTGATATGTCCAAGGAAGACATCCGGGCAAAAAATTCTAGACCAGGAAAACGATTTATTGCTGCCTTTAAACGCTCCAGAGTGCTTTTGCGGCACTTGGAAAGGTTCATCGAGCTCGCGTCTCTTGATAACAGCAGCCTTCCTCACTTGATTCCTCCTTCTTGGAGCCCCACCCATTCCTGCTTTTGCTGTGATAAGACCATGCCGGTAGGAGCACAGCCATGGGCATTACAAGTCACGTGCAGGGAAGCTGCTCTGCCAGCTATGGAAACCTTGCGTCTCTGGCGTGCCACTTTCAGCACGCACGAAACCCTTCTTTTGCAAGTCCTTGACACTTTGCAGCTACGCTGCCCTGATTAGCATTTTTATTACTCGCCCCTACTAGCTATTTAACCATTTACTGACCTGTCGACACCCGCTCGACTGTCTCACCTGCCAATGACCATGACTTTTGTCCGACGTACTAGGAGTTTAGACAATGGCTCATATACCCCATATTCTATCTACTTAGCGGGGACTATAGCTCTCCGAGCTTGCGGTAGTTGCTGGGTCAGGAGCCAACTCGCTGTCCAATTTGGCCCGTAAGCCAGGAGTTATGGGGGTGCGCGTCCCTACTCAGGGGGTTGTATGGGGATAATGGAAAAGAAAATGGAAACGACTATTTAGGGTTTAGGGTTTAGGGCTCCCTTTAGTAGATAGAATATGGAGTGTATGGGGGTATTATTGATTTGATCAATGCCAAGAAGATGCCCCGGCTGGAATGGGGTCGGATAACTTACCGGAGGTCACCCCACCGCTAGGCCATTCTCCGAACCCCCACCCCTGGATTCCCGTACAGCCTCCGCTCCTGCAAGACTTGCACCCGGGTGCTGCTGTGCCGCTTCTTAGCCCTCTTCTCAAGTGTGATTTGAGGAAATCTCTGGCACTCAAATCAGGTTTGAAGCCTTGTAGCTGTTGTAGCTTGGCAACGTCCTGGCTTCTATCTTCACCGTTAAAAATCAGATCTGCGTGATTGTTCAAATTATCAACCAGTTCAGCTAATCGTGAAGATGGCAAGGCCAGTTGATAGTAAGCATTATTACAGTGTGTGCATCTTAAACCTACACCCTGAAAAATGCGGTATGTACCATCTCTCCTGCAGTATTGGCACTTGTGCCCTACAGTAAATCACGCGAATGCCAGGGGCCTCGCACAAGATATTGTCCTCTCAGATGCAGACAGTGCAAAGCAACCATTTCAGAAAGATGTTTTTGAAGGTTCCCCAGCACCCAGCTATCTGTAGGTGGCATTACCACTGTTGCCGATAGCATCAGTAACCCATGGTCAGGGTGCAACTAGAATCAACTAGAACTTCGGGCATGCAGTATGTAAGGACCCTTAGGACCTTACAGGGGACTGCTTATGATATGTACAAGTCTATATGACTTCAATACAGTAGCCGGACTTAGATTGCGTGGCCCTTAGAGGGCCCTGTCCCTGCACATTCCCTCGTGTATGACGGTCATGTTTGATTTTCCAGAGAAGTGGCTAAGATCCGAAGTGAGAGATGACACCAGGACCCTCTTGCAACCACATATTAGAATATCTCCAGGTGCTGGTTCCCTAAAATACGACGCCTGACTCACACCCTGACCCCTAAACCACTAGACACCCCCAAGACCAAAGCCCCTTAAAAGCATCTGTCCGCGCATACAGGTGACTGCTCAATTTGAAGCGCAGTGCAAAGAGGCGCTGGCCTCCTCAATTTCAATGACTTAACCCGACTTCATGTGAAACGATAGTTCATGTGGAGCACGGACGTGAGGTGGATTTATTTCAGGTTTGGGATCGTCGAATTTAGCCGTATGCTGGGAAGGATCCCAACCAGCTCCGGTTGTCTGGGGCTGGGGCTAGCGTCCTTGTACATGCTAGGTCTTCTGTTCTTGGTTGACCGCAGGTGGGTGAGGTAAAGCATGAAGTCCTTTCAAACGTAGCTTCCAGTGAGAGGTCAACATGTTGCGTGCGTGTGTCACTCCGCTTTCTCACTGGACGCCCATAAACTTATACTATATCATATTATAATGGATTATAGTAGGTTATGCTATATTATATTATAATGGATTATAATAGGTTGCAACCCCCCCCCCCCAAAGATCCACCGTTTTTAGGGTAAAAGCAAATTTTGAAAGAAATTTGCTGGGAAACTAGCCAAGGTGGACCTTGAAATTGGATGTATTTGCTCATTTTCCTCTTAAAATAAATACTTGAAATAAATGAACAATTCACACATCTTTACTTATCTTCAATTTCTTTTCATTCTTCTTCTTAGAATA